ATCTTGACTTTGAACTGTGTATCTCTTGTTCCTTCACTGTCAATGAGTCTTGATGCTGGAACTCCCTCTCTGGGTTTACCTGCTATCTATCCAGCAACAGCCAAATCTGATAAGTGGGTAATAAAACAATCTTTTACCATGGTCAGACATTTAGCAATCTAACATCAACTGGACAAAGCCTTCTGCATTCTGAGATCTAGGCTCGACAAAGAACGGGTACAGCAGGAAGTTTCAAGTTAATGAGACTGTAGAAGGATTTATTAAACTGCACACAGCGTTGTGAAGGAGAAAAGATGGGGTGATGAGCATTTGGGACTTGTTTTGAGATGGAATGTATGCTGCACAGTTCTGTTTAAGACTTTATGGACAAGGCCAAATGCTAACCGAGATAAGCGGATATTGAACAATCAAAGTTTGGTGATGACAGTAGTGGGAAAGTATTTCAAAAGCAGAGGTGCTGAGCAAAATGCTGCAGAGACTTTTGTGAGAGCTTCATGTACAAGTTGCAGTCATGTTCGTCTTAAGCCAAATATTGTGTGGAGTTGGTAGTAAGGGAAAATAGTTTGATTTTTGGATCTTCAGTTATAGAAAAGTATGACTTGATGATTATGAGAGACTTAACCTGATCGTTTAAGATGACTTTTCTAAGCACTCGAGTAGAATTGCTAAAGCATGGTTCTTTTAACACTTTAAATCTAGTTGCCCCAACTTGTGTGCCAATATACATTGGAAGTTTCTCGCGCTAGTACAAAAATGGCAGTATTATGGCAGCCAATAGCCAAACATTTTGGCCTTATCATTCAGCTGAAAATACAATATTGCACATTCCAGAAATGGATATCAGCATCTGGAGAGAGAGAGAGAGAGAGAAAAAATAAGATCTATCTTTCATTTAGTGCCTTTATGACCATTGCATACCAGAAATGACTGTGCACTTCGCAAGTACTGGAATCCCTGTCATAATTTGGGAAACACTGTCTTTGTACACAGCAAACTTCAATGAAGGACAATAGGTATTTACCAGATAATGTTTTTAGATGTAGATTGAAGTGTATATATGGACCACGACTCCAGGAGGAATGTCCTTGTTCTTCAAAGTATTGACATAGGCTCTTTTACATCAGTCAGTGTCTCATCCAAAAGTCAGTGCCTCCAATAGAGCAGCTATCCCTCAGTGATGCAGTGGCAGCAGTCCTTAAGTGCTGCAACTGGAGTGTCAGCCTGGATTGTATGCTAGAATAAAAATTAAACAAGTTTTGCAAGAATGATGAGCAACTTCAATTATGTAAATAGTCCCAATTTCTCCAATCTGTCATCTTTGGAGAATGTTAAATGGAGATTTGGTAGAGGTACTCAAAATCATGATAGTATTGGATAGAGCAGGTTGGGGAAGAAGTGCTCTCCCTAGTGGAACAACCGAGAATGAGAAAGTACAAATGTAAGGGAATTGGCAAAAGTCACAAAGGGAATATGAAGTTAAAATGTGGAATGCGCTATCTGAGTGTTTCAGGAGCTTCAATCCAGGCATTTAAGAGGAGTTTGGATTATTGTCTGAAAAGAAGAATGTAGGATTATGGAGAGAAGACAGAAATGACTCGAGGTGAATTGCTCAGTTTGAGAGCCAGCATGCATGGTGAGCTCAATAGCTTCCTGTGCTGTAACAATTCTGAGATTCTGTGAATAGGACTTAGACACACAAAACCTTCTGAATCAGATGCAAGTGTGCTATCGACTGGAACAATGTAGTAATGAAGATGCTGTCTGAATTGAAAAATTACTGCTAAAGTTACTTTTATGAAACATTCATGCTGGTAATTGATTGCATCCAATCACATTTTTTGAGGATTATTGACACATTCCTGTGTATTGCACAGAATGGAAGACGTTGAACAGCTCCTTTTATGTGATGACTGATAAATCCAGTTTTCTTGAGGCTTTCGTCAGTTGAAACATTGGGCTACTGCTTGTATATGGAGGTTGTACTTGCAGAGAAAGGCTGAAATCATTCACCTCATATGCAAACAATCATATTATAGCTAGCATTGGTCCGGTCTGTGTGCTGTGTAATTGGTGCTACACCTGCCATGTGTAGGTGCAAGTTCTTGCATCAGATCTTTGCAGATCAACACCATTGAATATTGATACTTGATGTAAAAGTTTTAATCTACTACTTGCTGTTGCTAATTAACTTCGGAAGTTGTGCGACTAATGGATCAGAAAGTGTAATCTTTTTCGACAGTGTAGATTAGATATAATTGTGATTTATAGAGGTGAAATGCAAAGTTACGATTGTCTGAAAACTGGAAAAAAAAGCAATGGAGTGAGGGATAATTCCAAAGAGCATGCTTTCATTGAACCTGTAACAACTATCCCATGTTTTAATGTTTGTTTTCAGAAAGAAGGGACACAACAGGACCTAGTAAAGTAAGCTTGAATTATGATGCATGCATATATCAAAAACAGTTATCAAATGGGATCATAATTCATTGGAATTGCCACTAGAGTTTTTGCAAAAAGAAGTCATGCATTCTTGATCTAAATAAATCATGTATTTTAAATCCTTTAAGGCTCACTCTGACTTTCACTTCATTCCACTCCACTGAAGCACTGTTTTCCTATCTGATCTTATTGTTTGCTGGGTGTGCAAACGCACTTCTCATTATTTCAGTAACGTCTTTTAGGGGAGGAAATCTGTCATCCTTATCTGGTCTGGCCTACGTGAGACTCCAGACCCATTGCAATGTCGTTGAATCTTAACTGCCTTCTGAAATAGTCCTACCAAGCCCTTCAAGTCAAAAGGCGGTTTGCGGTGGGCAATAAATACTGGCGTAGCCAGCAGTGCCCACATCACATGAACTAACATTAAAAAAAATAAATTTGTTGCTGCTTTCTCATCTGGCTTAAATTACATTCCTTGCCTAACCCAACTGTATTGAGCAATGCTCTAAGTAGTCTACTATAAATTAGCTGTGTAATCCATAGTGCCTGGAGATTGAAATACAACAAGAGGAACTCTCTAAGTATGATGGGTTATCTTAACATGATTTTCTAGCTATTCAGGCTATAAAACTAATCCTGGGTCAGAGAGAGTGCACTTAGTGTTTTTATTAATTATGTAAAATAGAACAGGTATAAAAATTGTCATTTGGTAGTACAGAACTTGACCATAAAAGAAAAATATGCCTTTTGTTGAAGTTTTTCAACTTGCACTCATCAGGACATTGGTAAGAACACCAACATTTTTGCTGTATGAGAAGTGTAGTGGGTGGTTGGCACGTGGACTCTGGTGGAGAATGCACCAGGTGGATGATGACGGAGAGCTCTTTCATGTCTCAGCAGGTCTGGCAGCATCTGTAAAGAGAAATCAGAGTTAATATTTTGGGTCCGGTGACCCCTTCTCGGAACTCAAGTTCTAAGGAAGGGTCACCGGACCTGAAACGTTAACTCTGATTTCTCTTCACAGATGCTGCCAGACCTGCTGAGCTTTTCCAGCAACTTCTGTTTTTGTTGCAGATTTACAGCATCCACTGTTCTTTTATTTTTTTCCCAGTTCTTTCATGTCGCTGGGTCACCGTCCTGGAATTCCCTCCCCAACAGCATTCAGGGTCTACCTGCAGCACGTAGACTACAGCAGTTCAAGAAGGCAGCAGTTGATAGTTGTCACAGCATTGACCTGAGAAATGAACCAGAATGGCTGTTGCTTATCTTGTTAGTGTGAGATAGACATGATGTGTGTATGTGCTCTTTCCATGTGGAAATGGAATTAGTTGAGAAACCTGCCTATTACTGTTTATCGCAAGCCTACCTTCATTTGTCAGTATATACACTGTGATAACTATAGTTCCACTCATTTTAAGATTGGCCTTATAAGCAAACAGATAAATAGACTCCAAACCATTTGCTTGCAGTGAATGCTTCATGTTCAAAAAGGCTGCATTGAAGCCATTCTGAGTGATAATGGCAAATCTGAACAGATCACTTCTTGCTGCATACTGCACAAGGCAGGAACAAGCCTTGAGGCCCCATGTTTGGTCTTAAAATTGCCTGTTTATCTCTGACAATTCTAGATGGGTAAGTAGTTCAAAACTCTGAGTAACAGGTAAATCTAGCTGTTTCATTCTGCTGCTGTGCATAACATGGGCGGTGTTCATCACTAACTGGATCCTGCTATCTACCTTGCACAGAAATGAATAAAGTGGCATGTGCGTTTCATTGTAGGTATAGGGCTATGAATGTAGGCCATACTTCCTAAAGAATGGTGGAGCATAGGAAGCAGCAAGCATGTTCAAGTTGCTAACTGTATCTAAACAGCCTGTGTTTGCAAAACTCAGAACATTGTCCAATATTAGCAGTGATTTTGCAATTGAACAGCATTTGCTAAATAATTCTGAGGGTGCTAGGACTTTGACTAAAATCCAATTTCACAATGATTCTACCATGATTCGGTCAGCTCACCGTCTGGTGCACTTGTGCATTTTGGAAGATACGTATTAATAAAGAAGGGGCAAAATGTGTACAATGTGCCTGTTTCAATAATACAGACATAGCCTTTCTCTGAGTTATTCCTTGGGCAACGTCTTGGCAAATCAGAGTCAACCAGTGTTGTTTAGCTTTAAACAAATATTGGCTGTTAACTGTCAGTCATCATCTAATTCATGCATTTTCTGTGGCAAAGGCCTTTACCAATAAGGTCCACTGATCAACCAATCCACACTGTGTTCCCATACAGTAAAAATGTTTTGTTCCTCCCTTTCCATTGGTATTCTTGTGAATGTACTGAAGACTGAAAAGCTGTTGAAAAACTTTGACAAAATCTCCTTCAGCTATACTGAAATTGAACTAAACTGATTAATTCCTTAACGGTATATGTTAACATAGTGAGTTTAGGTGCAGATGAGAATAGCTGTTACCTAGTTTCAATAGTGAGCCTAGGAAAACACAAAGAATGGTCGGCTGAAGTAGTTAACTTGTGTTAATTCAGATTTTTTTTTTTGTTGCAGAGGAGCAATGATGAGAATGGAAACTGCTCAGGAAGCATTGAATTTCCCACCACAAATCTTTATGAATTGGAAAGTCGTGTGTTTACAGATCACTGGTCCATCCCTTATAAACGTGAAGAATCACTGGGCAAGTGCCTGATAGCATCCACATACCTAGCACGGCTAGGTAAGTACCACAAGGCTTCAAAGAGTCAAGTTACAGCAGCTTGCCTACCTCTCTCATGAGTAAAGCAGAAATAATTTGACTGCAAACACAGAACAAATATGATGGAATATTAGAATTGAGGAAAGAGGAGACAACAGGCATGTTTTGCTTGTGGTTTCAACCAGTACATGGATAACCTTCATGTTATAGAAAGCCAAACAAATTGTGGGATTAAAGCCATGTGGCTGTGCTATGGAGTTTTTCACTTGCACACCCAGATTCTGGTTATTTGTGTACACTGGGAATGAGAGTACACTGGGAAGGCATGGTTGCAAGTTTGGTGTTGAGAGTAACTTGGAGATCTTTCTACTTAACGGATGTGAAAGTTCAAGGATAAGTATCCCACGTGCTTTCTTAACATGCTGTGTCCTTCTGTATAGATTAGCCAGTTGCCAGGTTAACCCCAGAGGATGTGGCGCATATGAAATGTCTTTGGACAGAAGAATGTTTCCAAGCAGTTAATTTAGTTAAAATACAAAGTACTCTTGTATTTTTAAAAAATCAGTGAAATCATCCTGAGGTTTATTCATTTAACTAATTAAGAATGGCTGCAGACCAGGAGCATGCCACCCACCTAGTGACTGAAGTGGAACGTGGTTGAGAAACTTGTTACATTGAGTATCTGAGATTTTTTTTCTTCACTTTCTTTGAAATGGTACAAATTAGATTTTAAAGCACTCAGGCAGGTGAGAAATTCCAATATTTGTTCCTGCCGGAGTGCCAGAATTGGTTAGTCAGAAGTTTTTGTCTCTTTTTGTATCTGACTTCTGTGTCTGATCACTTTAGGTCTTGCGGATGCTGATGAAAATTGCAAACGCTTTACGGATCGATGTATGCCAGAAGCATTTAAAAAGGTAAAAGAGGCACTCTGACATCAGCAAAAACTAGAATTCGTTCTGAATTCTAATTTCTGGGATTGAACTATACTTTGAAAGTCTGATTGATCTTTTTGACATGCTTGGTAAGAGTGTTTTCAGGGTGAGGTCAAAGCAGACCTAGAATCATAGAATTCCTATTGTGTGGAAGTAGGCCATTCAGCCTGTTGACCCCACACTGACCCTCCAAAGAACATCCCAGCCAGACTCCCACCCCCCCCTTTCCTCCTCCCCATCCCTGTAACCCTGCCTTTCCCATGGCTAAACCACATAGCCTGCACACCTTTGGCACCTGGTGGTGCATGATCCTTCTGTGCTACAAGTAAAGGACAATTAATATACTTTGAAAGTGCTTTGAAACTGACATTCAATGATATGTGAGAGAAAATTGTGAGCAAGTATTTGAAGGTTTAAACTTATAAGTAAATCATTATTTCTGATGTTAACATTGGATTTGGAACTGCTTTATGTATTAATTGTTGCTCATTTTTTAATTGTTCTCAACAGCTAAACATTCGGGGAAAGTAATTAAATTATTATTGTGTTGTCTTTTCAACAGTTGTTAACATCAAGTGCTGTCCATAAATGGGGTGCTGAAATCCATGAGGGAATCTACAACATGGTGATGCTTCTAGTTGATCTGGTTGCAGAGCGAGTCAAACAGGACCCAATTCCCATTGGCCTTATGGGAGTACTCACCATGGTATGTAGATGACTGTAGCATTGGAAAGCAAAGATGTCTTGAGTACTTTTCTGCTGGGTTGCTCTAGCTTTTGTCAATTTGCTAAACCATGAAACATTGAGAAATTTCAGGTGCAAATTATACCCAATATAGATCAAGCCCCTCCATCTTTTGTGCAAAAATATAACATTAAAAACTCTTAACTGGCCATGCTGTGATACTAATAGACTTTCATTAAAAGCTTTTAAATAGTGTTTAATTTACGAAGAAATTGACAATCTTTCACCTATATAATTGCTTCTAATATACTTTTTAAAAAGTCATTTTCAGTTGTGCGTAATTAATCGCCAGTGGTAAAACAGACACTGACTAAATTGCATTCTAAACTGCGCTGTCTAATGATGTTTGCTCATGTAAGATTTACATTTGGTAATATCCAAGTGTATTGGGGTGAAAATTTAAACTTGGGTTTCTTTTCATATATGTATTATGCTAGATTCAATAATTAATAGTACAAAAAGCTGAATCTCTTGACCCTACTGTCTTGTGTTATGTCGTAGTACTTAGATGTGATCAATCCTGGCTTTCTCCTAAGCTCCCCATGCATTATTGTTCCTCAATCAATCTTTAATTCACTTCACATGATATCAAGAAACAGCTGAAAGCACTGGATTCTGCCTTGATACTGTACTGGATAGTATAGGTCTTGACAACACTCCAGCAGTGGTACTGAAAAGTACCTTCCAGATCTTGCAGTGCCCTAGCCAAGCTGTTCCATTACAACTACAGCACTGGCATCTACCTGACAATGTAGAAAATTGCCTGGATAGGTCCTGTACACACACATCAGGACAAAGCCAATCCAGCCAATCCAATCCTGATTATTTTCAAATTGATAGAAGTGGTTGTCAACAGTGCTGTTCAGCAAAACTCGAAAAGGAATAACCTGCTCACTGATGCTTAGCCTGGATTATGCCAGGCTCACTTCTCCTGACTTCATTACGGCTGTGGTCCAAACGTGAACAATAGAGTTGGAGGTCAATCATCTCAGCTCTAGCAGATCATTACAGGAGTTCCTGGAGTTGTGTCCTAGGTCAACCATCTTCAACTGTTTTATCAATGGTCTTCTTTCTATCATAAGGTCAGAAGTGGGGATGGTTGCATATGGTTACACAATTTTCAGTATTTACAACACTTCACATGCTGAAGTAGTCCGTGACCAATTACAGAAAGACCTGAACAACAACAAAGCTTGGACTGTTAAGTGGCAAATAACATTTGCATCACAGTGCTAGGCAATGACCATGTCCAACAAGAGAGAATTTTAACTGTCTCCCCTTGACGTTAAATGGCATTGTTAAATCTCTTAATATAAACATTATTTGCTACCATTGACCAGTAGCAGAACTGGACCAGCAATATATGTGTGTGTGTATAATACATACGCTAGGAATTCTGTGGTAGATAGCTCACCTTTTTTCTCCCCAGTACATGCCCACGATTTCCAAGGCACACTCAGGGGTGCAATGGTATTCTCTGCACTTGCTTGGATGAGTTAAACTCCAACATCACTTAAAAAACTTGATACCATGCAGGACAAAGCAACCTACTTGTCCCAACAACCCATCCTCCACCCTCAACATTTACTCCCTTCACCACAGATGCACAAGTGTACTATCTACAAGATGCACTGCAGTAACTCACCAAGCTCTTCCAGCAGCGCCTCAACTACCTAGAAGGATAAAGGCAGCAGATGCATAGGAACATCACCATCTGCAATTTTCCCCTCAAAGTCTCTCAACAGATTCACTTGGATATATATTATCGCTCCTTTACTGTCTTTGGTGCAAGATTAGATTCTTTCCTCACAGCACTGTGGTTGTCCTTATAATCAAGGACTGTAACAGCTTCTGAAAGCAGCTAATCTCTGTTGCCTGGACAAAGCGGTACACATATCAGGAATTAGTTTAAAAAACTGAAGTGCAATGTTTTGATGTGAAGAACTAGAAGAGACAATATAAAATGAAGGGCATAATTCTAAAGAGGAACAGAGATCTGGAAATTATTATTCACAACTTGTTGAAAGAGACAAAATCGGTTGAGGCAATAGTTAAGGTGACATATGGGATCCTGGACTTTACAACTGTTCATTATTATTTCTTTGTATTTGTACCCGGCGCCTTTATTTGTAAGGTCTGGTTCAGCCTCAACTGGAGTTTCTTCTATAATTTTGAACAGCAGTATTTATGAAGAATTTGTTAGACTTAGAGGATGCAGAAAATATTTATGAAAATGTTTCCAGGGATGAGGAGCTTAAGTTATGTGGAATTGTTGGAGAAGATGATTTTGATCTTTTTGGAGAAGAGAAGGTTGAAAGGAGATTTGATGTAAGGGTTCTGGAGAGAAACAGTTCCCATTGGTGGAAGGGTGGAGAACCTCATGGTGCTGATTTAAGAATATTTACAAAAGAACTGTCAGAGACATAACTATTTTTTACATTATGGAATTCAACCCGGAAGAGTGAGATAATGCTTTTGGGAGGGCTAACCAGGCAAGATATTACACTACGAATGGTAGGACCCCGGACAATACTGAAGATCAGAGGGACTTTGGTGTGCTTATCTACTTGAAAGTAGAAGGGCAGGTGAATAAGGTGATTAAGAAAGCAGATAAGATACTTGCCTTTATTAGCTAAGACATAGAATATTAGAGCAGGGAGGTTATGCTGGAACTGTATGAAATACTGGTTATGCCCCAACTGGAGCACTGTGTGCAGTTTGGTCACCACATTACAAGAACGCTACGATGACACTAGACCAATTGCAGAGGAGATTTACCAAGTTGCTGCTTGGGCTGAAGGGTCTGTGCCGTGAGGAAATATTGGATAGATTGAGGTTGTTTTCCTGGAGCAGTGAAGTTTGAAAGAGGACATCATAGAGTTGTATGAGATTGAGAACCATAAATAAGATAGATAGGAAGGCACTTTTTCCATTCATAGAGGGATCAAGAATCAGTGGGAAATAGTACGCTAAGAGGAGAGTTGAGATTTTTTTTCACCCAGAGGGTGATGCAAGTCTGGAATTCACCACCCAAAAGAGTAGCTAAGTCAGAAACTCTTTCAACATTTGAGCATTATTTAGATGTTCACTTGCTTGTGTTGCCATAGCCTCCAGGGCTATGGATCAAGAGCTAAAATTGGCATTAGTGTAGTCAGATCTTTATTTGACTGGTAAGGACAGAATAGGTCAAATGGCCTCCTTGTACGCTATAAACATCTGAGTCTATAGCAAGTGGTTAGGATCCCGAATGCACTTTGTGTGTGGTGGAGAATGATGCCATTGGGCTTTCAAAACAGTACCTACAAGCATCTGAAGAGAAACTTGCAGGGTTATTGGTCAAGGGTAAGATATGGAACTAAATAAGTGAACCAGTTGGCCTCCTGTGCTACAGTTATTCTAGTCACATACATAAACACAATTGATCCATTGTACTATCTCTCTGGGAGCAGCACATTGAAATTTCTTTCATTAATATTTCCTCAAAGTTCAACCAGTAACATTTAATTGCTACCTGTAAAGTTTTTGAGGATCTGGATAATGTTTTTTCTTTTTGCTATGACTGTATGCTGCACAACATTGATTTGCTAAGCAGAAGGAAAATCTGAGTTGGATTGCTCCCACCCAGATGTTCAATTTTCAGTTTGTAAAGGATATAAATGAAAACCTGTACAGAGAATTGCATCTGGATAGTACTGCTGAAGGAATGAAGTAAATCAAGGATTCAGAGAGGATTTTTTTCAGCTTTAGGATTACATGTTTTCACATTTTGCCAGTTTAAAATGATGGTGCTTTAGTTCATACCTTGTCTAAAATATTAATTGTTTTGTTTGGGATAACAGGCTTTCAATCCAGGAAATGAGTACCATTTCAAGAACCGAATGAAAGTGTGCCAAAGGAATTGGGCAGATGTTTTTGGGGATGGCAAAACGTATGCCATCTCTCCACCAGTCAATCTACAGAAGGTGAGTTGGATAGTGTGGCATGAGGTGAATATTTGTCAACTCAGACTGGCACTGTATGGTACAGAAAGTAATGTCATTGAACAGCAATATCAAGGCAAGTAAAAAATATAGGAGTTCTGAGCAAGGGTCACTGGACCCGAAATGTTAACTTTGCTTTCTCTCCACAGAAGCTGCCAGACCTCTTGAGTTTTTCCAGCAATTTCTGTTTTTGTTTTAGAAAATCCATTTCAGTTTATGTTTATTTAAACTAGATATGAGTGTATATAGCTTTCCCTGCAGAAATAAATTTCCGTCCTTGCAATAGACAGCTGGGATATTTGTGTCAGTAGGTGGTTGAGGAAGCAAGATGGAAGTTGATCTCAAAAGGACCATTGGTCCATGGCATGATTCAGAGCACCAGATATACGCCTGTCTCACTCCTCTCCATCCCACCATGAAAACTACCAACAAGGCTTATTTCTTTTTATAAGAACACTGAAAAAATAACAGGAGTAGGCCATTCAGTCATTTGGTCCACTCCATCATTCCATGTGATTGTGATTGATCATTTATGTCAACAACATCGTCTTGCATTACCTCCACATTTTAAGATATGTGTCTATTGGTGCCAGTCTTTAACTTACTCAGTTTCTGAGCCTTTGAGGCAGAGAATTACAAAGCTTCACTACCCTCTGAGTGAAGAAATTTCTCCTCACCTCTGTTCAAATTGGTCTGTCCCTTGTTCTGAAACTGTGTTCCCTGGTTCTTTATCCTCCAGCCAGGGAAAATGTCCTTCTTGTATATAACGTGGATTCTTATATAAAAAGAGAGTTAGAAAGGGAATGCTTCTTATTCTTTTAAATTCCAGAAATTATAGATCCAGTCTATTTAATCTTTGCTCCTAGGACAATCCCTCCATCCCAGGAGTTGTTTAGAGAAGCTAAGTTAGACTTCCTCTCTGGCAAGTATTATCTTTCCTTGAGCAATGAGTTCAAAACTGTACACACTACTTCAGTTATGGTCTTACCAAGGTTCTATATAATTGCAGTATGATCTCTATGCACCATTACTCAAATTCTCTTCTGATCTACTTAATTTTTCAGAGCGTGGCAATATAGATATGTCCAAAACGAGACCTGAGATGAGAACAGGAAGGTGTAGAAGCTGTTATTCCATACTTTTACCTTGGGCCTCGTTGATAAGCTGCTTTATTTTTAGCAGTGTACTGAGTCCATGATTGCTCTTGAATAACCTTTCTGATCGTGGAAAACCTGTACGATATTAATAGTCATTTTTTTGCTATTACAGAACTTGAACTAATGTCATTTGTATGTGATGTCAAGTTTCTTCATTATGATAAATTGTTATATTAAAAACTGAGGAACTTTAAAAGGTTTTTTTAATGTCTGCTTTGTATTTGTATCCATCCTCATTTCCCATTCTTTAGTTTTATTTTAAGTGTAAGATAATTGGTGCATTTGCCACTTGGATTGCTGTCAGAATTACTCAATTTGATTGACTGCTTAAATGGTTGATGGAATTACTGTTACTGAATGCCTGGAGATCTCTTTGGCTTTCCTCCAATTTCAAATTAAGATCAAGAAAGGTGAAATACATAGCACAAATCACTAGATATTGTGGTAGCAATCTTCCAGATTGGTGGCAAGTTCAATGGGTCTAGATTTTGCATACATCATGTATTTTAATGTTCCCTCATAAATCGTAAGCCATTGAAGGAAATTACTCCTTATTCTGCTTCTCCGATACCACACGATTATAAAAATTTATGCACAGCTGCCTTTCGTCATACTGACCCTCAAATTCTGTAGGGATTTGTGGCGAGTGTGGATTTACAGGCTTTGTTTTTTCTGGTGTCCCTTGGCAAAATATTTTTCTGTATTGTACAGTTTTCACTTCGCATTTTATCCCTTGGTGCCATATAGAAATGCCAAACATAAAGTACTTAAGCAAGTTTGCTAATTGCAAATGGGAAAAGACTGTTGTAGTTGAGATTGTGATGCAGTAATAGCAAAGTTTATTTAGTAACTGATGAAGCTATATTTATTTTCTATTTGCCTAGCTGTAGCTTTATCTTTTGATCCATTTATTCATGAGACTGGGCATATCTGAAAAGGTCAGAGTTTATCAATCAACCGACATTGCCCTTGAGAAGCCGGTGAGCCACTTCTTTGAAGCTTATGTAACGTGAAGAATCTTCCTCAATGCTGTTAAGACAAAATTCCTGAACTTTGGCTTGGAGACGGAAAGGAAGCTAACATCATCCTAAGTCAATAGTGAGACAATTGGAGGGGAACTTCCAGGTAGTGGTGTTCTTGTGAGGCTCCTGACCTTGACCTTCTAAGTGATATCAATCATCAGACTGGAAATTGCATCATCATTCAATCATATATTTATTTTATACTTTCATATATTTCAAAAATTATTTTTGCTTACTTTTATCTTTCCTTTGCAGGAACCTTATGGATGGCTCATAGATCTGGTTAATCGGGTAGGCATTCTACTAATTAACACCAACTTCTCCTCTTTCTCTTCCATACTACAGTCACTCTTCTCCCCCTCTCTTCTTTTTTCATAAACTTAATCAGATTGCAAAACAACTAAAGGATAATGGACACCTGTACATATATTGTAAATAATCAGGCCATCCAGTTGTTTATCCTTGTATAATAGATACCGCAGCAGAAGAAAAATTAAGTCATGGAAGGTGTTAAGTAGAAGAGTTGCACAAAATATTCTGACATATGCAGGAAAAGAGCAGGATAGGGAGAACCAGAAATTAAACTGGTCAAACAGTAAATGGATTGAGATGCAAGAGCTATGAAGCATCAGTTAAAAATTCTTTATATCATCTGGAAGGAAACGGTACAAAAAGAGCATTGGATTTTTTGCCAGGGCAGTCCATAGGTCATGTAAAGAAGAGGGCTGTGGCTGAACTGAATTTTTGTTTTCACTGCTCTTACCCTTCAAAGTTTATTAAGAAGGTTAGAAACTTTTGTAACACTATGAAAGAGTAGAAAAACTGAGCACAGAAAGAGGTAATTGAGCTGACTGTGCCATCACAGTTCTTTGAAAATCCTATCTACTCCCCTGCTCTTTGCATTTCTGCAGGGCTGTATGGAGAGATTTAGGGAATTGAAAGGAAGCAAAGCTCTGGAAAACACTGAAAAGTTTCTTTCAAGCGCAGTGATAGACTCGATTGAGGCAATTGACTAGGCTTTGCCAATATTTTTCAGAGTTCCCCATCATACATAATAGAAGAAATCATTTGGAAGATTAAATGTGGTTCATAACAATTAGCCAAGGATCAAAGAGGCAGTCAGTATCTTGTACAGTTTATTGGATTTTTTTGGGAGGTTACAGAGCTTATGGAAGAATGATGTAGATATTGTTTATCTAATAACATATCACAATGTAGATGAAAAATTATTCCACTAGATTGTCCCTGGAAGGTGTTTGGGAAGACGTTAGTATGGAAACCTGTTAGCAGAAGAAACTCGAGTTCAGTTCATGCCAATTTTTATAATTTTTAGAAATTACTTGGAGGTTGGAACTTTGCCCAGGATGTAAAGCAGATAATACCAAATTCAACGCATTGACTTATGATGCTAATCAGTTGGCACTAAGTGATCTGGGTAGGCTGGGCAGCAGGATGACATGTGACACACAGGTAAGTTTGAAGTCATAAAATTAAACTAAAGAAGAAAAATGTAGATTTCGTTTTAACAGTGATCTTCTGGGAATAACATAAGCAAATGGATCTGAGCATTTTGTCGGCTACATTACTGTCAGTTGAAAGTGAAGAAAAAGAGTGAAATGTTGGAATGTACTTCTAGTGTTGTTTTATTTTGAAATTTCTTGATGTAACATATCTGGTATCGTCACAAGTTTTGCTGTCCACATCACAGGCAAGATTTAGAATTGACAGAACAAATTCAGCGAAGACAATGGGTTGAACCTGAACTGAAAGACTGAGTTGAGGAAAATTTATTGAACTAGGAATTTAATCCCTTGAGCTGAGGGAGAACTTGATAAAGTTTAAATACTTTAATGGATGTGGGGAATTTTGGAATTCTGTCAGATGCAGAATTTGGAAAGGTATCATAAGTGAATAGAAAATTTAAGCAATGTTTTCTTACAAATAACAGTGAGTTGTGGAATAGCTGGCTAAAAAGCCAGAACAAATTTTATAGAATCAAATTTATATATTAAAACAATGACGGATGGTTTGAAAGCATCTGCTGGTTGAACTACTAGTATTTGGTGCAAAGCATTGATGTATGTATTACAACAATTAATTCCAATTCAGGTAACTAACTTGCTTTATATTTGATTGCAGGCCTACTTTGCAGTATGTTAGATGTAGCCAGTTGAAATGAGGTTTATCCTTATTTAGATGGAGATAAATCTTTATGATTGTTCTCGTGATTTCCATGTGTTGCTCAAAATACTAGTAAGCACTTTCAGAAATGGATCAATACTATTTTACCAGCTGTTCATATTTGAATTGAGGTTTGCTCTCATAGTTTTGTAAGGCTGACTATTGATGGAAAACTAACTGGAGCGCATTGTGAGAGTTACCACATAAATCAGTGGAAGTGTCAATACCATGTCAATATCTCAATGAATGAACTTTCAATCAGCACCTACGTGTCAGCCGCAAACTAAGCCTGGTTGCAATAAATTTCTTTGCTCTAGCCCTGATAATTTGGTGTTGGCACTTAGTTCGTTAGTTCTCAGGTACCCGTGAAAAGTTGAGTGTTGGTCAAAATACTTCACATTTTGTGTTGTACAGCTCATCGTTATTTTTTCAGACACATTCCAAAAATCATCTGCAGTATAATTGTACTGTTAGCAGAGTCACTATGGAGTAGAAGGAGGCTATTCATCCCATCATCCATGCTGGCTCTGTTTAGGGTGATCCAGTCCGTCCCATTTTACACTGTATCCATATTCATCTTCCATGCGTCCGTCCAATTTCCTTTTGCAATTATTTGTTGATTCCACTTCCAACGGTCTCCTAGATATTGAGTTGCAGATCAGTACTTTCTGTGTAATTTTGAAATAAAGTTCCTCCTCACAAGCCCTGCATCTCATGCCCAAAACCTTAAATCTGTCCCCTAGTCCTTTGATCACCTAATTGGAATGGCTTTCCTTTGTTTATTTTATCTAAAGCCGTCATAACCGCTAGCAAATATCTCTCAGTTTGCTTTGTTCCAAGAAGAATAGCCCCTGCTTTTCTGATCTAACCTTGCAGCTCAGATCATTGTTAGCCATCAGTCTATCTCGGTCATTGATTCCTCACCAGTACTGAAACAGACAACTTTGTTGAAAAATTCATCGCATTCATTTTAGCAGTACTGTCTGTTAGAAATGTCTGCAATGATTGATATTTAATTATCCCCGCTTTACACTTGAGTTAATACTCCTGGTATTTTTTAACAAGTGCCTATTTGTATCTGTAACCTGCTTATTGGAAATGTATAGTTTGCAGTTGATCCACACTTTTACATTTTTTTTTCATTCACTGGATGTGGTTTTCACGAGCTAGGCCAGCATTTATTGCCCTTCCCTAATTAGGCATAAGAAGGTGGTGTTAAGCGGTCCATGGCAAGTAGGTACAGCCAGAGTGCTGTTCAGGTGGTGTTTCAGGATTTTGACCCAGTAACAGTGATACAGTTTCAAGTCAGGATGGTGTGTGTCCTGGAGGGAACCTTGTTGATAGTGGCGTTCCCATGCTTCTGCTTCCCTTGCCTTTCTTAATGATAGGGTTCATGGGCTGCAAAAGTACTTTCAAAAAAGCCTTGGTGAGTTGATACAGTTCAACTTGAGTGTTGTCAGACCCCATGATCTTTGAAGTATGCAGTGCCTTTAACCGATTTCTTGGCATCATATGGAGTGAATCAAATTGGCTGAAGGCTGGCATCTTTGGCAGGAACCTCAGCAGGAGGTTAAGGTGGATAATCCACCCAGCACATCTGGTTGAAGGTGATTGAAATGTTTGATAATGTGGGCTCCCCATCATTAAGGATGGGAACGTTTGTGGAACCACTTCTTCCTGATAGTTATTTAACTGTCCATCACTGTTCATGGTTGGATGTCGCTGGATTATAGAATCCCTACAGTGCAGAAAGAGATCATTTGGCCTACCAAGTCTGCACTGACCCTCCAAAAGAGCATCCCACACAGACCCAGCTGCCTTACCCTATCCCCATAACCCCCCATTTACCATGGCTAATCTACCTAGACTGCACATCTTCAGACTGTGGAGGAAACCCACACAGACACAGGAAGAACGTGTAAACTCCACACAGTCACCCAAGGCTAGAATCAAACCCAGGTCCTTGGGGCTGAAAGGCAGCAGAACTAACCACTAAGCCACCCTAAGTTTAAAGTTTAAATCTTTTGCAGAGTTTAAATCTGCTCTTGGTTGTTAAATTGCTTAGCTCTATCGCTCGCGTGCAGCTTATGTTGTTTGACATGCAAATAGTCCTGTGCTGTAACTTCACCATATTGATACGTTACTTTTTGGTATGCCTGGTGCCACCCCTTCTCAACTGCATACCATTGTGCTGCCAATTCTGGTTCATCAATCCTGCTGGTCGGACAGGGCATGCCAAGGACGGTGATGATGTCTGGGACATTGTCATACTCACGGAATCATACGTTGTATGTATTGTCAGGCTATTGTTTGACTAATAGGTGGGACATCTAATTTTGACGCAATCCCTCAGACATTCATAAGGAGGATGTTGCAGGGTTGACACTTTTCTTAAAGCAAAAACAGGCTTTGTTTTCGGTACCTGAGTTGATGACGGTGGTCTGTGTAGCTTTTTTCTTTTATTTAGACTCTACAATGTTTTGACACAACTGGCTCGATAGGCCATTTCAGGGGCTTTTAATAATCAACCTCGTCGCTGTAGGTCTGGAGTCATATGTAGACCAAATTAGTTAAAGATAGCAGAAATCCTTCATGAAAGGACGTTAATGAACCCATTCCCCAGATGAGTTTTTGCAACAGTCCGTAGATGTCTAATGGTCATGATTAGATTGGTTTTTAATTCAAGATTTACTGGTTGAATTTAAATTCCATCAGCAGTGGAATTTGAACCTCTGTCCCCAGAGCATTATCCTGAGCTTTTGGATTATTATTGACATTTTTTTTGCTATATCACTGTTTTGGAGAACACAAGCCAATTGTTGGTGAACTAAGATGTTTAGCTAAATCCTTGATCAATGTTTTACAGCCGTGCATGCCCACTATCAATTGGCCTGAATGGTTTTTCTGCTCGTAGGCTGTTCTGAGATTGCGGAGGTCCTCGTTTTAATAGAGCCAACTTTGCAGTATATCATCATGCTTGTTAATGTCTTCTCCCTTACCCATGTTATAAGTTAGAATTCAGAATCCTACCCAGATTTTAAAAAAGAAAAAATTCGTTTTTGTTATTCGGCTCAGGGCCACATGGAATGACTTCAATGTTAGTGACAGTGATGTAAGAAAATACTAATTCTGCTTAAAATGTCCAAGACAAAAGCTTGATACGTGTCTGGTTCATTCGGTGCCTAACAGCCATTATTTCTATGAGACATGATGCTGTATAATGCGATTGAGAAATTAATATTTTACTTCTTAAATTGAGAAATTAGCAGCAATATTTTGTTTTTAACTTGCTTCTAATGCAGTTTGTGCTCTGAAACAATGATCATCGAGCTAGTTACTGAATTATATTTTATTTTTCTAGTTTGGAGAGATGGGTGGGTTTTCAGCCATCCAGCTGAAGCTTGGTGCAGAAGATATAGAAACCGCGGTAAGTCATTCTGTTTAAAACAATATAATTAAAGCTTCTAGGTAATCACTTTCAATGACTGCTTTACAATCTGCATTTAAAACAATCTTTTAAATGTCTTAACTTCTTCCGATGTAGTTAGACTAATTGCCTATTTTGATATAGTTCTTTTACAACACATTTAATGATATCAATTTCAAAACTTAAAAACTTTGACCCCAAAGCATTATCTGAAGGAGAAAATATTTTACGGAAATTTTTTTTATTTTTAATAATTATAGTTAAAGCAGTTAAAACTATAAAACTATTTGCATTGCTTTGCATAAATCTGGTTGGTAACTATAGGACCTACTGTGGTTTAGAACCTTTGTTGTTTTTATTTTAGGCTGTGTCTGCACTGGTACAGCCTCTAGGAGCATGTGCTGAATATCTAAATCCTGCTGTAGTACAGGTAAGAACAACACAACTTGCCGTGGAATAGCTTTCAAAAATAGAAATTGATTTATGGTAATGTGTAGTAAATCCAGAAAATGGAGACTGCATCCAGCTTTATACCAAGCTAACTCCATAGGACATTTTTAGGACCATTATATTTGTTACAATGTAAATGCAGTGGAGTTAAAATACAAATGTCATATTTACGGACTATTCTTCCTTTCACAGCCCATGCTGGATCCAGTCATTGACAAGATGATTCGATATGTGCAAAGTTTAGAAGAAAAAGATCTGAAAGACAAGGTGATTTCTTTACATTTTCTTTTCTGGATTGCTTGTATTGAAGCAACTGTCAAAACTTTGATCTGATTAGAATTACTTTCCTAAGGCATAAAAGCCAGATGTTTTATCCTTGAACCTGAATACATTCCCATAAATTAAGAATATAGACAGACAGTATAGGCCTGACCTTCAGCTGCTGCAACCTTTGGTATCTCTAAAATTAGTAACTCTAATGGACTTCTTGGGTGGCCTCCACGAACTTGAAATAATCATAAACCTTGGCTGCACACGTCCTAACTTATACCAAAGCCCATTTACCCATCATTGCTGTGACAACTGACCTACACTGGCTATAAATTAAGCAATGCCTTTATTTCAAAATTCTCATTCTATGCTTTCATGCTACTTTGATACACTACTTCTATTGTTGTAATCTCTAGCCGCACAACCCTCCAAGCCATCTGTCCTCTTCTAACCCCAGTCTCTTGACCATTCCTGATTTTAATTTTTCCGTCATTGATAATCATGCTTTCAGTTGCCAAGGACTCTGAGTTCCCTTCTTAAACCTCTCTGCCTTTTTCTTTAATGTGTTACCGAAACCCTATCTCATCTGCTATATTTTAACATCGTGGCTCAGATGTGTTTTGTTTTATAGTGCTCGTGAATCACCTCAACCACTACTCCATGAAGGTGCTTTACAAGCAGAAGTTTTTACTTGTGAACCTCAGCCACGTTAATCATACTTGAAACTGTTCTGAGAGCAGTGAGATTGACTTAATGCTGAATTGCAAACTTGTTCTGTTGCCCATTCAGCACTGCGTGCAGATTTATTTGTAGGCTAAGTGTTATTCCTAAGTGTCGTTGAGATTAGAAAGGCTCTACTAAAGGTATTTTGCCCAAAGAAGAGAGAGGACCTACTTAGACTTTGTCTTGAGTTACTTACACGTTGCAGCATACCACATTTTTAGTCCTTGGTTGGAAAGTTGCAAAAACCTGTTTTTAAATTCCTGTCTCCTTTTCAATCTAGAAACTGGTGAACATTCCAGAACTTCTATCTGCCATCAAATTATTATGCATGCGATTTCAGCCAGAGTTGGTAATGGTGGTAGACGATCTCCGTTTGGATATCCTCCTGCGTATGTTGAAAACTCCCCACTTCAGTGCAAAAATGAATTCATTGAAAGAGGTATACTATTAATTTCTAGTTTTGATTGATGATAGATCTGTGGTTAGAATTGCCGAAGGTTCTAAGGTTTTGAAATGATTGATCACTGACAATTATGTGACTAATGGTGAGGATTTGGGAGTGGTGGGAGGTGGAGTGTGCATAGAGGCTGCACTGGGATTTAGACAAGTTTGATGATGGGCAAAAACATGTCCAATGGTATATTATGTGGCAAGCTGTGGTTTATCCAGTTTGGTAGGAAATATCCAAAAAGTAGAATTTTGGTTTTGAATGGTGAGAAACTAGGGAATGTTGTTCATTCAAAAGAATGGTTTTGTCCTTGTGCCTGAATTACAAGTTACATGCAGGCACTTCGTGCAATAATGAAAGCAATTAGTATGTTCACTTTCGTTACAAGAGCATTGTCGTATAGCACTGGAGTCTTACTATAATTCTGTATGGTAGTGGAGAGACCACACCCTTGGAGAACTGGGTTGCAGGTTTCCTGTATGTTCAAGGGAGGAGATGCTAGTCCTAGAGGGAGTGCATTGAAGGATCAGTAGGCTGGCTCCTGGGATGAGTTGGTTGCTCTGAGAGATTAAGTAGTCTTGGTCCATATTCCCTCAAGTTCAAAACAATGAGAGGTGATCTGATGGAATTTTATGAAGTTGCTAAGAGGCTTGAGAAGATAGTTAAAAGGTAGAAGGAAAGCTGAGAAGTTTCTTCTTGGAGTTTTAGAACATGGGGTGCCAGTTCCAAAATAAAAGATTTAGAACCGAGATGAAATATTTCTAAACTCAAAAGGTTATGAATCTTTGATATTCTGTATCCCAGTAAGTTACGTTTTCTCGTTGTGAGTATACTTAACTGCTGTTCTTTAGAATTTCCTTTTGGGTACTAGGTACAGGGATATGGGATAGTGCAGGAATGTGGAGTTGAGATAGGAAAAGAAATCAGCCACTATCTTGCTGAATGGCAGAGCAGAATTAATAGGCCAGAAGGCCTACTCCAGCTCCTATTTATGTTCTTATGGCAAAACTGCTATCAAAAGAAGGTTTTTGTATGGAGTCGTAATCTATGTGCTGACAGTAGCTAGCAATATTCCTGCTGTTTAGCATATTATAAATTGGTACTTTGCCGCATGATTTTAAAGATGAGTCGCATTCTCTTTGTGCTGTTGTTCTTTGACAAGGTAACTGAATTAGCACGTTAAGGTTATTTTGTAGGATATACTTTGCTCCTATTTTCATTAATAACTCCATCAGATCTGAACCTTCAAGATATCTTATGAACTTAATGATAATATGCAGGGTTGGTTTGGAATTTAGTTATTACTTGCTTTCTATGAATGAGCAGGTTCTAGAGCAGTACTTATTGGAATTCAACAATATCCTGTTTGGCTCTGAATTACAAGCAGTCTATAGTTTGTGCTGTTACCTTCCTGTTTCAGTTCATGGTTTGACATAAAAATTTTCCTGTAAATACAATTTCTGCATGAACAGTTAAATATGCGCTGACGGCCAGAATATTGTACACGTGTTAAGAGAGTCAATGGGCAGGGTCAACTCGAGTGAGAACTATTAATTATAGAGGTGATACAGTCATGTTCTCAATTTATTTTCACAAAATATTTGGTTGTTTTGGACTAGACTGCTGATATAGTGTTTAAACTACTAAATGTAAAATGGACAGAGTTTGCTGGCACAAGAGGGATTCAAGCTTGTCAAATGAGGTACAAATCGGTCACTCTGTTTCTGAAATAAACTTTGAAGAATTTTGTTGAATTGACTGATTTGACTTCTCAGTTCTTTTATTTTCTGTAATAATTTGCATTTATGATATTAATATTTTTATTGTTCCAATGGGGAATTGCTGGATTTAACACTTAACGCATTTGTTCACAAATAAACGGAATGTTTCTTATTCTTTAGGTTACTAAGCTGATTGAAGACAGTACCTTATCAAAATCTGTGAAAAATGCAATTGATACAGACCGGTTATTGGACTGGCTCGTAGAAAATTCAGTATTGTCAATAGCACTTGAAGGTACAGTCAATTTGAGAAGAAACTAACAAATTTGTAATTTAGAGTTTCTCAACTGGCAAGCAGTGCACCATCTGGTATCTCAGCTGTATCAGTATTGAGACCACGGTTGAGGATTTCCTCTTTTAGAAAATGTATTTCAGTATTTAACTTTGGGATTCGTGCATTTCAGGGTGTCTGTTATCTACCTGGATAGGGCGTAGACTGAGAGTCACCATTATGATATTATGTATCTTCGGTCTATGTGCTGGAAATTTAAAATTGTTTTGTAAAATCAGCTTAACCTCGAGAAGCTAAGGCAGCATTTTTAACCATTAATAGTAAACATTTTCAGGAACAGCAACTGATTCTTCAACTATTGCTAGCAAATTCAGGATGGATTTGTAATTAAAAATGGAAATTTAAAACCTGTCTAACTCACTACCACATTGAGCAGGACCTAGAACATTGAACACTACAGGCCCACGATGGTATGGCGACCTATTATCCTACTAAGATCAATCTACCCTGCATACCCTACATTTTACTATCCTCCATGTGCCTATCCGAGAGTCGTTTAGAAGTCTCTAAAGTATCTAACTCCACTACCACTGCTGGCAGTGCATTCCACATGCCCACCACTCTGTGAAGAACCTACCTTTGACATCACCCCTATACCGTCCTCCAATCACGTTAAAATTATGCCTACTCGTAATAGTCATTTCCGCTCTGGGAAAAAGTCTCTGACTATCCACTCCATCTATGCCTCTCATCACCTTGTAAACTTCTATCAAGTCACCTTTTCTCCTTCTTTGCTCCAATGAAAAAAGCCCTAGCTCCCTCAACCTTTCCTCATAAGACCTGCCCTCCAGTCCAGGCAGCATCCTGGTAAATCTCCTCTGCACCTTCTCTAAAACTTGCACGTTCTTCGTATAATGAGGCGACCAGAACTGAACACGATATTCCAAGTGTGGTCTAACCAGAATTTTATAGAGCTGCAGCATAACCTCACGGCTCTTAAACTCAATTCCCCTGCCAATGAAAGCCAACACACCATACGCCTTCTTTACAACCCTATCAACTTGGGTCGCAACTTTGAGGGATCTATGGGCATGGACCCCAAGATCCCTCTGTTCCTCCACACTGCCAAGAATCCTGCCATTAACCCGGTATTCTGCATTCAAATTTGACCTTTCAACATGAATCACTTCACACTTTTCTGGGTTGAATTCCATCTGCCAGTTCTTTGCCCAGCTCTGCATCCTGTCAATGTCCCGTTGCAACCTACAACAGCCCTCCACGCTGTCCACAACTCCACCAACCTTCGTGCCATCGGCAAACTTACTAATCCACCCTTCCACTTCCTCATCCAAGTCATTTATAAAGATCACAAAGAGCAGAGATCCCAGAACAGATCCCTGCGGCACACCACTTGTCACCGAACTCCAGGCTGAATACTTTCCACCCTCTGTCTTCTATTGGGCAGCCAGTTTTGTATCCAGACAGCCAAATTTCCCTGATTCCCATGCCTTCTTACTTTCTGAATGAGCCTACCATGTGGAACCTTATCAAATGCCTTGCTAAAATCCATATAAACCACATCCACTGCAGTACCTTCATCGATGTGTTTTGCCACATCCTCGGAGAATTCACTAAGGCGTGTGAGGCATGACCTGCCCCTCTCAAAAGCTATGCTGACTATTTCTAATCAAACTGTTGCTTTTCCAAATAATCATCAATGCTATCTCTCAATCTTTTTTTTTCGGGCAAATTATTGAAGAGGATTCTGAGAATAAAGTGAGATTATTCCTGCGATACCTGTACGCACTGCTTTTTGGTCTCAGCATGGAATGACAAAGTGTTTTTGTTATTTTTCTCTTTCCTTAAAAGGGCTCATCCACCGACAATATTTACCACTGATACTGGTACGGAGGTGTACTGCTGATCAGTTGGTTCCATGAATTTTGCATCTCTTTTATTATTGTAGTATTACAGCCAGTACAGTTTTGAAATGCATTCTAACTACATTTGCACCTCTTGAGAATAGTGTATAATATATTATATAATAACAGAGTGAACAGAGGGATTGTATGTTTATCAGTGGCATTATGGGAGCATTGTTAGGTTATTAAAACGCATGTTTTATTTTTCAGAATATGTTCCAATGATATTTGTCATTGAGAGATTTCATTTCAGCATTTATTTGATGTGTTGGCCCACAAGGTTGCAGATTATAGTTGAATATAATTGTGGTACTGATGGCCCACAGTGCCTTATAGGTGCCCTGTTTTGATTTGTTCCAAATCTATACGTACGAGTCAGGAGATGGTGCTACACATCACAGTGAGGCTGTCCTCTGTTTAAAGGCAAGATTTTATCTCCAGAGGAACTGTGGTAGTCACTCACATCACTGTGTCATGGACCAATATATGTCTGTGGCCGTTAGATTGGTGTAGACAAAACAAAAGTTTCTTTCTATGTATTTGCTCTATCAACATTTCTTGTGGGTCCAGTCTGACAGATGTGTCTTTCAAGCCTCACCCAACTCCATCACAAATGGAGGGACCCACTAGAATTCAATCTGCCTTATACTTCAGTCTAATTCAGGATACTATTTAGATAGTTTGGTTCCTCCATCACATTGAGAAAACCTCTTATTTTTATTCAACTTCAACAGGAAACATTGATCAAGCACAGTATTGTGATAGAATAAAGGGAATTATTGAGCTGCTGGGCAGTAAACTCTCCATGGATGAACTTACCAAGATTTGGCGCATTCAGGTACTAAATAAATCTAGCAGTGGTTTGCATATTGCAACTGGTTTTAACTGAGAGGAATTTTTATTTTGGTTGATCACATTATGTGAGCATCGTATAGCAATTGTCACACTTCTTCTTTGAGTTAAATCCAGTAAGGCTGCTTTGAACTTGTTGATGTGACTGAAAAGGATCAAATGTATTTATTTATTGGATATTAATAAAAGTTGTTTGAAGAAATGATTTAATAACTGCAATTTTTATGTTAAATTTATGTTAGGTGCTTAAAATTCCAAGGCTTTCCTTTGCGTTCCGATAGTAAGTTTGTATTTTGATTGGAAAGATAGGAACACACTTGCTTTTATTCAGTCACTTTAATCATGGGATGGGGACACTGTTGGTTAGGTCAGCATTTATTATCCACGGTCATTACTTTCTGGAAGGCAATGGTGAGCTGCCACCTTGAACCACTGTAGTCCGTGTGGTGTAGGAATGCCCAAAATATGCTGTTAAGGAAGGAGTTCCATGGTTTTGACCCAGGAACAGCAATGTAGTTCTAAGTTGTGACGGTTTGTGGCTTGGAGGGGAACTTGCAAGTGTAGGTGTTCTTGCATCTGCTCCTGTTTACCTTCTAAGTGGTAGTGGTTATCTTTGTTTTTGTCGTTTTGTCTTTTGAGCAATGGATAAACAGGTTGGGACTCTACTCACTGAAGTTTAGAAGAATGAGAGGTGATCTCATTGATATATATAAGATTCTTAAGTGACTTATTAGGGTATATCCTGAGACGATTTAGAACCAGAGAGCATAGTAGCACAATAAAGGGGGTGCTAATTTAAAACTGAGATGAAGAGGAATTTATTCTGAGGTTTGAGTGTCTTTGGAACTTCTTGGCCACAGAAGGCTGTGAGGGCAGAGTCGTTGTGTATTTTTAAGGGTGAGATAGATTCTTGATCAGTCGGGGTATCAACAGTCATGGGGAAAGGGCAGGAAAGTGGATGTGAGGAATGTCTATTCAGCCGTAATCCTTATGAATGGCGAACAGGCTTGAATGGCCAAAGAACCTACTTCTGTTCCTGTTTCTTATGGTTGTGGGTTTACAAGATGCTTGTAAGAAGTCTTAGTTAATTGTTGCTTTGGTGCAACCTGCCTCTGTGCATTGGTAATGGAGGGAGTGACTGTTTGACGAATTAGGTGAGGTGCCAATCAAATGAGTTGTTTTGTCTTCATGCTGAGGTTCTTGAATATTGTCGGGATTGCACTCATCCAGATAAATGAAGAGTATTCCATCACAATCCTCCCTTGTGCCTTGTAGCTGATGGGCAGGCTTTGAGGGTGAGTTTCTCACAGCTGAATTCCCAGCCTGTGACCTGCTCTTGTAGCCATATTATTTATATGACTAGTCGAGTTCAGTTTCTGGTCACTGGTAACCCCCACGTTCTTGATTTTGGGGGTCCAGCAATGTAAATGCCACTAAGCATCAAGAGGCAATGGTTAGTTTCTCTCTTGTTAGTGATGATCATTACCTGACGCTTGTGTGACATGAATGTTACTTGCCACTTACTAGCCCAAGCCTGCATATTATCAGGATCTTGCTGCATGTGTACATGGACTCCTTCAGTATCTGAGGAGTAGCAAATGCTGATGAACTTTGTGAAATCATCATTAAACATCCCACTTTGACCTTTGGAATGGAGTGAAAGTTGTTAATGAAGCAGATGAAGATTGGGGGTGATGTTGAATATATTGTAATGAAGGACAGATATGTTTAGGACAAGTGTAATATAACTTTCAGACCATGTAATCTAAAGCTAATAACCTTGTTATCTATTAAGTCAGGGCAGTCCTCAACCGTCATTGAAAATATTCACACTATTATTGCTGCTGCTGCTGCAAAGTTCAACTATGATCAACTGAACCATCTCTTCATCCTGATACAGAAGGTAAGTGAGCAACTTTTTCCATGATAGTAGGAACTGCAGATGCTGGAGAATCCGAGACAACAAGGTGCAGGGCTGGATGAACACAGCAGGCCAAGCAGCATCATAGGAGCAGAGAGGCTGACGTTTCGGGCCTAGACCCTTCATCAGAAAAGGGGGAGGGGAAGGGGGTTTTGAAATAAATAGGGAGAGAGTGGGAGGCGGATAGAAGAGGGATAGAGGAGAGGATAGGTGGAGAGGAAACAAACAGGTCGAAGAGGCGGGGATGGAGCCAGTACCACCGAGAAACCGATATTCATTTCAAGCCCACCGACTCCCACAGCTACCTAGAATACTCCTCCTCCCACCCACCTTCCTGCAAAAATGCTATCCCCTATTCCCAATTCCTTCGCCTCCGCCGCATCTGCTCCCAGGATGAGGCATTCCACTCCCGTACATCTCAGTTGTCCTCGTTTTTCAAGGACCGTAACTTCCCCTCCTTGGTGGTCGAGAACGCCCTCAACCGTGTCTCCCACATCTCCCGCACCTCATCCCTCACACCCCGTCCACGCAATAA